TACGACAGCCAAAGAATGAGACTGTTATACCAATCCAGGTGCAGCAAAAAACACTTTTCCCTGACTATGATCCTGTTTTCCAAGACCCTGATGCACCCATAATGATTGTTACACAAATCAAAGAACAAGAATGTGGCCTCCGCAGTAACCTTATTCAAACATCATCAAACCTTTATGAAATCTGGAGCAGAGAGTGCAGAGCTGCCTTCATCACAACCCTCAAGCTGAGGATTTCCTTCTTGAAAAAGGATCCAATATCCAACTGCTTTAACTTCAGGATTTGAGTGGCTTCTTTCCAAATACCATTTAGGCTGTTTTCTTTTTATTTACTGTTCTTGGACTTAAGACTGTGTTACACCCTGATCAGAGCTCTCTTGCTCTGTCTTTCTTGGTGTTTGAATCATTTTAGGCCTTTAATTTTTACACAAAGTCCAGTTCTAATTCAATCATCAGTCTGAAGCAGTGACTGAATGTTTGTAAATTATGCATATTTTCTTTTTTAAGAAGGGGTAAATGAATGGACAAATAATGAATTAAAAGACTGCAAATATGAAAACTATAAACATAAAATGTTAAAGACTGGATACAGGCTTAACAGTTAGCCTCACTCACAGTGAAAGTAACAATATTCACCAACATGCTTTGAACTCATTAAGATCATGTGACAGACTTTTTTTTTTTTTGACCAGCAGTGACTTTGTACTATTTTGTTGCCACCTGCTTGTTGTGAATCAAGCCACGACTTCAGCTGCATGCACCCCAGCTCAAGTGTAGTCTGGAGGATATATCTCCAGACCAATCCAGCCTGGCTCATTTTCCCCATTTCCTTTGTACTAAGCTAATTTGCTGGTAGTAGATTAAAATTTAAATTACACATATGAGAGCAGTATTGACCTTCTCATCTAATTAACAGCAAGGAAGCAAAGAGTCTCCAAATACCTCATTAAAAAATGGGACAACACAGGATGAAATGCAGGTGTGTGAGTCAGAGACTGAGACTTGGCTGAAGCGTCAGCTCTGGTTTCAGTTGCCTGTCCACTAATGATCAGAGCTGAGTCTGGATTTGCATTTGAATGGTTGCACAGTTATAGGGGATATCACAAACAAAAAAAGCTATACTGTAAATTTTAGGAGTTTTTTTTTTTTATAGGAAATGACACTGTTCTCACTTTAAGCACACTTGAATGACAAGCTCTATTACAATAAGGAGCAGAGAAAGCAGGGAGTGGTGTTTTAGGTTTGGGCTAAGCATTTGCTTAGCTAATGAAAACCATCTTGGCTGGAGAGCTGGTCTTCCATCCATCCTTGGCAGATGAGTTACTAGACTAGGGTGGGTGCTGGGTTGTGGACAAGATGAAGCTAATGATGGATGAGGTTTGGCTCCACTCTGAGTCTAGAATCCCATCTGAGCCAGACTTTCTCCACACCGAATTTTGCCCCAAGCAAATAGTTAAACTGTCCAGTGGTCGAAGTGCTGCAATGAGAAGTCAAAGAAATTTATAGACAGTGGAATGCTCCTGCGATCATTTTGGCCTGTTTCTCACTGTCTGCAGCTTTGTTTATTAAGCCCATCCAGCCTACTGATTCAGACTTTCCACAATACATCATTTTCATTTCTATAATTGTTATTTTTTTACTCTCCAAAAACTCAAATCACTTGGAGCTTATTTAATTTATTCCCCACATAAGCGCAGCATGTTTTGTCACCTTTCTCCATACCAAAGCAAAGCTGTTGGTTATGACTGTCAGTTTGTTAGTGCCATCTGAAACCTGCACACTGCCCGCTTCACTGTGTGGCTTTTTTTGGCTGAAATCCTCTGCCACCTATTACATAACCTTAGGAATCCAACCTTTTAATAAGTAATTCTTGGAAGCACTGTTGAAAATAAACACCTTTGGTCATTTTCCAATCTATGAGGTGGAGGCTGCACAACTCAAGTCTACCTGTAATCAGCATGGCAAATTATTTCCAGCTGTGTTTTAATGTTGGGTTTGGGTTTTTTTGTTTTAAGCTGGGTATTTCCAGACAAATGCTGCTATGATTCACTGTTAAACAATCCCCAAAGTTAAATTAACTTGTAGCTGTGATGCTGTTTTAATTTTTCATGTTCAGTAGTTTTCATGTGGAAGTGATTAATTAGTCATGCTTAGATAAATTGGTCTTCTGCCAGACTGAATAACAGAGTATCATACACTGTGATATCCTACTTCCTCAGTGAGTTGTAGTTTAAACATGGCACACAAATATTGCATTTGTCTAAATTATAGTTTAATTTGCAGAGAAGGGGAAACCAAATGTCTCTGCAAGTGATATTGAGAAAAAAGAATCAAAGAACACTCTCCATCCATTTTATTTCAGACTGTGAAGACTTATGAGAATTATCCCATCTCTTCCCTCACATGTAATATATCTAGCCTATTTACAAAGTTTTTAAAGTTCACAGCTAGAAAGTTGTACAGAATGGTTTATAATGGTAATAATCTCTTTTTTTAATATATAAATGCTACCTTTGCCATATAATATTGCACCCTTGTTGTTCTAAATGTTCCTGCAAAGGTGGAGCTTATACTCAGTCACGCTCATGAATACAGACATCTGCAGAAACAATGAATGAGCGGTCAGAACTGTTATAGTCCTTTAAAGTCTTCCTGAGGAGCACATGCAAAGGCTGTGCACTGTAGTGTAGTGTCTGGATGATTCTATTCTGTCACAAAAAGAAACAGATGTAATTTAGAGCTATAATACACTTTTAAACATAAAGTGGCAATGAAAAAGAAAATTAATTCATTAAGAAATGCCAAAAAGCTACAGTTGTCTAATACAGTTGACCAAAAAAGGCTGGTTCCAAAAGAAGGCAAAAAACCAACAGACAGTATAAAAGTTTTGGCTGTGTTGCACAGAAAAACAAAACACATTGGTGAAGCAGAGGTAACATTGACCTAACATCTTGTCGATAGGCAAGCAGTTGTGTAGAGAGAGGTAGAAGTAGGCAAAGTGTAGAAGCTACCACCACTCACACAGTGCAATTAGACTTGGTTGGCAATATATAGCACTGTGCTGGATGGAGTGCAATTTAGTGATTTTCCGACTATGTTCCTCTGCAATGCTAACATCTTGGTGACGGTTCTCAGTTAAAAAAAAAAAAAAAAAAAAAAAAACAATGAGGAGGGGGAGGTCTGATTGTGAAAGTGCTCGCGTACCACCTAATGTGTTGTCAATCGTTACTCAAACAATGAGCCTCTACCCAGTGAGCATTCCCTGGATAATTCTCCTTTTTGAAAATAATTGACCCATATTTACAAAATAAACAGAATTTTTTGTATTCACTATGACAAAAAATGACTGATTAAACCCATAAACCCACCAGGAAAGTGTTTACAGGTCAATAGCGAAAGCCGTTTTTCCACAGTCTTCTGTAGGACCTAGTCTTTTGCAACCATAACTATCGCCATCTGCTGGCCTTGAGATAAGATGCAGGTCTTTAAGGCACACTGACTTCATTTCCATCTTTTGTAATGCCTATGGTAAAAGCCTACGGGATCCTATGTTAAAGTATGAAATTTACAGCTTTCACAAACACACACAAAAAGAATTTGTTCTCAATGGCTCATTTCCCGCTTTATAATAATTATACAGATGTTTCATTTTTGTTTATATATACATAATTTAATAATTTAAACTTTATTAAGGCTTGAAATGTCTCTACTTTGAGTGACAGGTGTGTTGTAATACCAGCAGCAGTTGCTGGTGGCAACTGCTCTTTCTAATATTCAGCGTAAATATGTCTGAGATATTTTTTTATTTGCACTGCATATACACAGTTGGTCCAGGCATATATCAAAGGTACAGATTTTACAGTAATCTAGAGGACAACGTAGCAATTTCTTAGGAGCAAGCATTCAGAAAGTTTGCTTGACACGGAATCTCAAACTTTATCTTTCAGTACGACTGCACACAAAATCTAACTGGTGATGTGACTCGGCTGAAGAAACACTGACAGTTGTTCATAAATGGCAGCTGGTAATATTTTTTAATATTAAACTGCAAGGAGAATGAGGTGAATCGTGACTTCAGGCACATTCCATATGCAGTTTAGCTCAAATTTCTTTGCATTGGCTCTCCCTTGCTTTGCATCTACATTCGCAGAGCACCAACTCTTGACAAGATGCAGTTCCATTAGTTCTTCCTGTCCCTGACACATTTTCAGAATATTGCTATTCTACTCTTCACTCGTGTTGCGCACTTACATGAGTCAGTTTCGCAAAATCACGATTCAGAACAAGTGGCCTCTGTTTTGCATCACTCCAGTCTAGACACTACGGCACATTACTTAAAGGCAAAACTACCACCTGCATAATTACTGGCTCAATAAAGTGATTTAAAACAATTTGAATAATAGTTTTTAAAAAAAATGCAGGTTATCATTTAATGTGTGCGTTTTTGCTTTTTGCACATTATCATTTGAACAAATTTGTAGATCACAGAAACTTCAAATTTGGTACTACTCTAGCTTTGTACATAGTGTTAATCATGAGCCCTTTAACTTTGATCAAAGACAGATGGCTGATGTGGACTCACATGATGGTTGTCAGTGTGGTTAAACTGACAGACCAAAGTTGTTCTATATGTGTTTTAATGTCTTTATTTGGTTAAATTGTATATGTTCTTTGTCTGCTGCCGCAAGATCACAGAACTGACATAACAGTTAAGAAAATTGCACCGTGGAAAAAGTTAACCTGAAAATAATCAGTAGAAATACCTGTCTGGAGCACAGTATGGAATGTGCAGTGAAGGAACAATAACCTGCTTTGTACCAAATAACAGAAATTATTTCGAACTATTTGCACAGTACCTAAAAACTAATGTTCCACATTTAGCACACTCCTTTGGAAGATGTCCAATACTTGGTAGGCTAAATTTAAGTTTTCCAATAAACTCAATGGGCCACCAAGAAAGCTTCCATAATGGGATTTTTTTTTCTTTGTGTGTGCATTGTTTGAATATAAAAGACTAAAAAAAGAGCGACCTGATGTTACAGACTGTAATCAAAGAACATTAAGGTTCTGATCACCGCCCATTCATAATGCAACAGATGCATTTGTGATGGATTTCTGCATCTGCATTTTAAACTCCAATAGCTGCGGCTGCTGCTGTTATTTTTAGAGCATCTGCAGTTCTAACGGATAGCCTGCACAGCTTTAGCAGATTTCGAGTAGCCTAGGCTAACTTTTCTGCTCATTCATCATTTAGGCTACAGTCATATTCATATGTAGCTCTGTGTTTGTGCGCTGTGCTGTCTCCTTTTTTTGACGGCGTCCCGCGGTTTGCTGGCAGGCTGCAGCAGGGATGGTAGCAGGTCAGTGCGATCGGATGAGCGTTGTACCAGTCGGTCTGGTGGTTAATATGGAATATTTGCACAGAGCGATCTGTCAAATCCATTTGCACCGGCGGAAAAAGGGAGGCCTGTAGTAGTGCAAAATAGAAAAACAGGTCATTTCGCCGTTCTTTATGGCTTCTGGCTCCGGAGATGAAGAGGGAAACACGGGGGGCGTTTCATGGAGACTCATAGGCCCTGCCTCGGAGCTTTCCAAGAAGCGCTGCCGTTTAATGCACTCCTCTCTCGGCTATGATTCCGATGTCTGCCTCTTCTATGTGAAGGGGGAGTTTTTCGCAATGGATGCTCGCTGTTCACACTCCGGTAAAAACAACAACAACAACAACAACAACAACAACAAAAACACATTTATACCCGCTTAGATTTAGCTTTAGCAGGGCCTTTAAAAGACTAGAGCGCAGTTATATGTATAACATTGCAAACGCGTCACGTCGCGTTTTTGTATGCAGCCTATTGAAAATGTCTCTGTGGGTGATTAACTGTTAAAATAAGAGAAGGCTGAGAGGGGAAATAGCATCATGCCCCCTGCTGTTTTAAGTTTTAGTGTTATAGAAAGTATCGCATTTTTCTAGAATAAAGATGGCAGCAGGGATTGTTATGAGAATAAACGGTTATTAACAGTTTCCCGTGTGGAAATCCAGGCGGTCCTCTGTGTGAGGGGGACATTGAGGAGGCTGACGGAGTCCTGCAGGTCTTCTGTCCCTGGCATGATTATAACTTTGATCTCAGGACTGGGAAGTCAGGGACATCACTACAGGTCAGTAATAAAGTGTGCCCTGATAATGCTGCTTTAGTTTTACACCAAAAACGCTTTTTATAAGGAGTGTTGATTAATCACTTTATTTAACTTGCATGTAGGAGCAGTAAATTTAGGCACCTGAATGTATATCAGGTTTTTTACATTTACTAAAAGCTGATACTAAGACTTGATGCATTCACATCAATTATCCTTTAATCTTAGACAGATGGCATGTTTTTGATAGACAAGACATAAAAATCAAAGCTCGTCAGATAGAGTTAAGGTGATGTTCAGCTTGAGATCTTCTGTTTTGTTTTGTTCCAATGAAAAAATCAAGCTTGACATTTTATCCTCTTTTATATTCATCGTTTTCCACATATGATTTAAATATACATCACTTTATGTCACTCATGTCAAATGTTAGACTAAACAACATCAAACTGTGTGTTGTGACAGGCAGGGGGTTTTTTTGACTTGGAAGGTTACTCCTAAAGTAGCTTAGGGAGTTGTGTTTCTTCTAACTTCTGTTTCTTTTTCTTTGTTTACTTTTTTTTGCAGCAACAAGTGTATGAAGTCAAGCTGGAGGATGGAAATGTTTATGTGAAGCACAGAAGTCATCTGTCCTTACAGCCTTTTCCTCCAGATCGGAAAAGCTGATCTACCTCAGAGCAGGTGCTTTGTCCTCCTGTCCATTTGTTAGACTTGTGTAATGAACCTAATGTAGTTTGTTTTGAGACTTATTCCACAAACCCAAGCCGTCCAAAAACATTTCTAAGCCGTATCTCTCATTTTCTCAGTTTTGTTTCTCTTGGATTGCTGTATTCTCAGGACCAAATCCAGGAGAGTTTCTTGCGTTTTTCTTGCTGCTGGCATTCGAGATGGCGAACCATGCGCAGGCACTTAACCTGCAGAATCAGCAGGTTATTGTTGATTTTTGATAACACAATAGATGCAAGATAAAGGTAGTGGATTTATGCAGTTTCATGTTTTTTTTCTTCCTTAAAAAGAAAATATCGTGATTTTTAGTGGAAATATTGCAGAGTAAATTTGATGTGCACTTTAGTTTTTTGCCTTCAGATTTGAGCCATTTGCACTTTCCATTTCATTGTTGATCAAAACCCTGTAATTGGAGTGGATCTCACCATTTTTCATCTCAGTTCTCAAGCTCTCAGCCTCTCTGCCTTGTTGCACTGATATGCACTAGCAAGCAAAAACAAATCTGTTTGAAGAAACTGAAAATCCTTCCAAATGCTGTTTATAATTCAAATATAAATTACCAAAACTCCGAACAGATTTTTTTCCGTTTACAATCCACTTGTAATCCGAGTTCTGTTGACCAATCGCATTTGAGCAGGCTTCGGTTACATGCAAATAAAGAAATCCATGTGGGGAGCAAAAACAGGAACGCATTCGCCAAACTGCAATCTTGTCTGATGATAGTTTAATTTTATATTTGCTTTGTTAACAGAAAAGAAAGGCTTGACCTGGATATCCACTGGCTGTACTGCAAGTCCTGAAAAAACGGTTATTGCGCCAAGATGCTAAGTCAGCAGACTGACAGTTTGGTTTTCGAATCACAGAGGCAATAGGAGTATCCAAAATGTAGCACTATGAGTTTTTAATTCAATTAAAATTGATAAAATAAAGAGTAAAAATGAGTAAAAACTGAACACCATCGTCTTGATTTCTTGAAAAGAATCATCATATTTTGCATGTTAGCGTTTTCGAATAACCAGTACAGGTCTCCTTTAGTAAAGCCCACATTTTGCATCTAAGTGTCATTTTATTTCATGGTTTACTATATTTCCTATTATTCCAGACTTGAGAGGCAGACTTGTTTAGTTGTGCCCTTGAAGCGATGTCACATAGGAAGAAACTCTCTTCCAGGATTTATTTGCAAAATTTTTTTTTAACCCAATTAGAGTTTAAGCAAATAGAAAACACATCAAGGACACTGTGGTTACAGTTGGTGGCAATTCCACAGCTAACATGTTTCCATCAGCATTTCTCTTCATTCCTGTCTTCTGCACAGACAGGTTTGTCTGTTACTGACGCAGTGGGATTTACGAGGAACGGTTAGTAAGGCGCCGGAGGAAGGTTCACGACCTGAAATGCACCACTGACTTAAGAAAAATGTGTTTTCCTAGCTGTGCGTGTGTGAGTGTGAGCAGTGATGCCAGTGTGTTTTTTTTTTTCTTCGTGGTGAGAGCAGTCACTCACTATATTTTCTGTCAGCTTCGTTTTCTGGCAGACGCACAGAACCCCGTCACGAAGGTGTCAATGACAGTGTGGCTCAACACTCCAGTTTTCCTCCCTACTGTGCTCCCTGTTGTGCAACTTTATTACAATAATAATTCCACTGGTTAAAAATGTTATGTGCACCAGACGTCTCGCTGTGTTGTCTTACATTTCATCACCTGAAGGGTAATGTGCAAACAAAGTGGAGATACGGCTATTTTGTGTCAGTAGAAAAGTCAAAGTAACGGTTTGAGATTCCGCAGGAATGTTTTGAGACGCTTGAGGCACATTGGGAAAATTGGGATTCTCATCAGAATGTTGTTATGTTTCCTAAAATGTATTTTATATTCTTTTGTATTTCTAGTGTATGTCTCTGGGACTGCATACACCAATGCATTTAAATTCATCCCTCTGTTGTAAGTTAGTATCATCAGTATCATGTTTGTTGTAAACTTTGTTTATTGTTGTAAGATGGAAAAAGTAAAACTAGATCTATGCATTTTATTTATTAAAAATATATATGCATGTTAAATAAACTTTTTCCAATTTTTAGACTGTTCATTTGTTAAACTTATGCACAGTTCAGAGGACAACATCAAACAAAATGTTTACACAAAATCATTTATTTACACTTGTTCGTTCGTACATTTATACCAAATTTAATACAATACACAATTTACACATAAAGACCTAATTCAGAGAGAAACAAAGCATTCAGCATCTCCATGCAATAGTTAGCATTACAGACTATTATCAAGAGCTGATTTATGTAATTCTTTTACTACTCAGGATTGCTTCCTGGGGTGCAGTGGCAAGTATGCAACTCTCTCCATGTCCTCCAGAAAGCGGTGGAACGGTGTAAGGTTGACCGTCTTGTGAATAAATTATGATCTCCCTGAGACCCTGCTGGACTATACAGAAGAGAAAATGGATATGTCTGTTTACGCTTAAGTTTCTGATAAATTGTGGATGGTTTCTGGTGGATTCAGAGACTTGTGCTTTTCTGCAGAAACATTTCAGTGACAGAGGCAAACTCAGGTCAAGTATTTTGAATAGAAATCCACTCCTTAGATTCTTTTTTTTTTTTTTTTTTTCGAATATCAGTTGCCACAAAAAACCTCAAATTTTGCCAGATGGATTGAAATACACTTGAAAATATCCAATTTTCTACCATTCAAGAATTCTGCAAAGCTGTAACTATACCAATAGTATGCTTTAGACATTAGTTCCCTGTTTTGGGAAAAACGCTCATTCTCCTCCTTGCCAGAGTTTGGAGATGAGAATAGTGATGATACCCTTACATCAGTGGGTTCATTAAAAAAATACAGCCAGTACCCAGCTAACTCCAAATGTCAAACAATTTATTTAGAAGTTTAAAACACAAATACATAAATCATATTCATGATTCTGACACTAAATAAAGTAAAAGGTTTGCCACTACTACTGCCAACGAGTCCAGATAAACAGTTTCTTTTAATTAAAAAAGGAATATTTTCATCTTCTTTTATCTGTTGGTTTCAGGCTCAAACTGTCTTTATTTGATTTTAAAGTATCTGGAAACTTTTTCTTGAGCGATTAAACCAAACATTGCAGAGGTTCTTTAATCTCCTTTGAAGTTCCCTAAAGACAAAGTGGCTGTTTGGAGAGCACAGCTTATTTTTCCATGCAAAGCCTTACATAATGGTTTACTCAGGCTATTATTGTTACCTTGTCCTTCAAGCTCTCCTGATAACTTCTTCTCATGAATAAGCCAATTCTCCTGTCAAAGCATTCCCTGAAGAAAATCTGCATTCTTCCATGTGCAACCACTTTCAAAGCTCAAGATTCTGTAAGTGATGGGCTATGAGGCCAAAGACCACTAATATTTTCCCTTCCCTTTTTTCTTTTTCAAACCGTACCCTGAAATGATTAAACCCATCACTAGATAATCTTGCTTCTCTTCCTTCTGATGTCTTTGGTCTAACATTTCCTTTAGTTGCTCTACATCTGTTTGGCCCCTTCAACTGACCTCACAAACTATTGCATTTTATAGGACTTATCTCTTCCTACACCTGGATTCAATCATCATCTTTCTTACGGGGTGGAAGCTGTATCTGCTGCTGGGACATGTTTGTTTCCAACTGGACATCTGAACTGTTCGTTCACACACAGCCCACAGGCCTGTGATTAGAGAGGTCAATGATAATTCTGAAGTTTGCACAGGCTCCCAAGTTATAGATCTATGTTTGGAGTGCTGTTATGTGCTCCACATAGAAAGATTTACAAGTTTGAAATGATACCATTTACAGCATATTAAATGATAAATCTGTTGCACATCAGAACTAAAAATATAACAGCACAAATGAACTGAGAAAAAAAAGACTTCTTCAAATGTTAAATGTGCAGAGAGCTCGGTAGCAATTTCAAAGGAAATATGTGTCCATAATACTCTTGTGCCCAATTTATTGCTGATTGCTTAAGTTCAATTTGGTTGTTTGTGAAAGTCAAACTGTTTTTACAGTTCTCAAGAGAATATGTAATTTATTTTCTAATTAGCAGCAGGCTTATATTTACTTGTCAGCCTCTTCTGGTTTCTCCAAGGTCCATAGTGCACCTTATTCATTTTGGGATTAGTTCAGCTCGAAGGGTTTCTCCCATGGGTCTGCAAAACCCCATACTGCAGATAAACAATAGATTTAATCACTGAGTAAACTCCATGCCTATTACTTAGTTCAGTTAAAGTAGCCAAAAACTCAATTCATGTGTCTATTTCCATATCCATATGGCGTTATAGTCTACATTTATTTGTATTGCTACTCGTACTTTTACACAGCTTAATAAAAACCTGACTTGTAAACACAAGTTGTGTTTCTTCTGAATTCTCATGCTTAAGAAATCATGTTTTGTTAATTAAGAAATGACAATGGAGTTTTTTGTCCTACTAACAAGATTGCAAACTGAAGCCAAAAAGATTATTGTAAAGTCAGCAGATTCATGCTACAAAGAATGGAAAAAAAAAAAAAAACAGTGACTCAGAGAGTCAAAGAGTTGCACAACACAACTTCAGTTATTGGCTGAAAATCACACAACTAAATCAACAACAAGATTCTTGTGCAAGGTACAAATACCTTAGCCACACAACATGCAACATGAAAAACTTATTTAATTCACCAGCAGCACTTTTCATGAACTGTTATAGTTTGAAACATGCTGAATTTTATTCATTCTCAAGTTTAATGATATTTATTGCACTTCAAGATATAAAGGCAGCTCATAAACACTTTGCCCTAGAACAAAAACAAATTTCATTTAGACCCTGAAAGAGCTTCTTGCTGAGAATGAAAGTATTGAGGAATAGATTATTATAAGTAACACTTTGTTTGGTGATGTTCTAATGTGGAATGTGCAGAGGGGGGGAAGGAAATTATGTCATGCTTCCAAAAACAATTATCTTTATTTTGAAGCGCCAGTCTAGAGTAAGGTCCTTGCTTGTCATGACGACAACCTCAGTCTTCCACATTTTAAGTAAGTGTGGAAGAACGTCTGTCTGAATCACAGTTGGCAATATGGTACACTAATGAAAAACACTGAGAAGCATGGCTGAAAAGATTCTCTGTTCACTGGGTGGCATGCTTCACCCCACTGTCTCTTTTGCATGTTCCTCCACTTCATGGAGAGTTTCTGAGTTTGTATAATAAGGGCTCAGTGTCTGCTTCAGACAACAAGGACCTCACGTTGGTTTCTCTCCGATCTTGAGGAAATGTATGAGTTCAGTGGAAAGCTATGGCCAATTACCAAGTGTTTGGGGTCTACCATAGTATTTATAGTTTTTAAATTTCTGGTTTTGGGTCAAGCATCAAGATATGTCAGCAAAAACACCCACTATGGAAGTGGAAGGCCACAGATTAGCTCTATAAAAGTTCCAATTTCAACCCTCAATTTAGTGTATTCATTCATAAAATGAGAGCAAAGTCAATAAAAGCCGGTCACCAAGTTACATAAAAACAAATGATACTTGTCTTTTACCGTGGATGGGAGAAATTAATATACCAAATTCTTCATTTAAACGTCAGACCTAATGAGTTTTCTAAATTGATGTCTGTCTCGGGTTTGTGATTTTCATAGTAAAGGGGGGATTCACACTCATCAGCAGACAGACAATCTTCTGAACTTGATGCCATCATATGACTCTCAACTGAAGACCTAACAATATAAAGAAAAGATTATTATAGATATATCATTTTGATGTGATTGCTAGTGTAAGCACTGATCAAATTATATTATTTCAACCTACTTTTTATCACTTCTGTTGGCATTACTGAATGCGTGTAGATACTCTTCTTCTGGTGGTTGAGGTGACTCTGCGATTCTGGGTCCTACCCCGTTGCTCTGAAGGATAAGCGACTACCTGGGTGGATGATCTCCTCATCTGCAGACCATCTAACTCTCTCATGTCCCTCGCCATCTGAGACAAAGTTTGACCTGGGTTGGTCTGCAGACGCTGGAAAAGGCTTTCCCTGTTGATTTTCCTCTCTGGACAACTGAAGGTAAGTGCAACTCCAGAGTCTGACTTCATCTCTCTGGAGAAACCATCTGAGGTGCCATCGAAGCAGCGCCCAATAGCGATCTCTTTGGCCACTCTAGGGTTCTGGTCTGTGACTGTGTAGATACCATAGTTGTGTCCCAAAGGGTCAACGGGTGCTAACATGGTGAAAGCATGAGACTCATTGTTTTGAGCCACCGGTGGATGTTTAATGAGATACTCTTGTAGGAGGTTGTTGGTGTTGATCCTGCGGCAGTTACCTTGTGGAAGGATTGATATGAGGGACCGGTCCACCTCAGCTTGGTCAAATAACATGCCACTGCATTTGAACTCTACACATGCTGCTGAGGTATTGGACTCTCGCATATCCCGAGTGCTGCGAATGTCTCTAATTCCATAAAGCTGGCCCTTTGTCTCTCGGTGTGTTCCTCCCAGATTCCTTGACCTCACCATGACTTCTTTCTGTCCAAGAATTTTGATCTTGATGAAGCATGCTCTAAACTCTTGGGGGTTAGGCCACCAGGACAGGTAATCTCCTGTCCAGGTTGTCAAATCATTCTCCTCAAAGGGAACAACGTTGTATTCATACTTGTCCTTTTCTACTCTAAAAAACCTGAAATGATTCGCATCAACAGGGGCATTTTCACAAGCTATTAAATTCTGATATGGATATATTGGCCCATTGGTCTCATCAAAATTGTTTTGGTTAGGCTTTGCCAAATTGATTTTGAAGGCAGTTTTCTTTAATGCTGGATCATCATGGTCTGAACGCTGGTAGTCTATTTTATCTAGATAGGGCTGAGAGACTCCAATGATGTTTGGATTCATCTTTGGGGAGGAAGGAGCTGCCTCTAGTTCCTCCCCACCCAGCATTGCTGTGACATAAGCTGTGTAAGCATCAGGCTTCTGGGCATCACAGAAAGCTGGTAAACAGGCCCCATTAGGTCCTGTTATGACACTGTCAAAGCGGCCCCATGCCCTGGGATTAGAAGAATAACCAGGCTTGGGCTCCAAGTTTATCAAGCTAATCACGATACCCTCCAGCTGTTCAGTAGGTAGGAACTTGTCACTCATGTAGGCACGAACTTTGACATAGCAGCGTCTATTTTCAGGTACATCTAAATTGAAAAGTCTGCGTTCTCTGATTTCCATGTTGCCTATGAGGAATGTGCGCTCCTCGCGCTTGCTCCTTCCATGACCACCAGTAGTTGTGCTGTAAGAAAAGTTGCTCTCCTCTTCCCAGACTCCTGTGTCGGGATTTAAAGACCACAGTTTCATCTGGGGAATGTGTTCTTGCATTTTGACGTGCTGTGTGTCAAGGAGGACTTGGACAGCGCCAGCTCCAAGTATCTCCTTGTTGGAGTCATCTCTGAAGTCTACAGAGAACATGCCATAGGTCCTTAAAGGAAGCATGTCACCTTCATCATCCACAAAGTTAAGGTCGCCAGGGGCAGCTGCTGCAGTAGTGATGTTTCTTGGGTCAATGAATGTGACACTGGCTTTGACAGTTCCTTCGTAGATTTCTCCATTGTCCTTATGAAAAGAATTAGGAGGAATAACCAACTGCCCTATGGGGTCTTCATCTTTAATTTCTCCAAGGTTAATAAAATTGGTCTCTCCTGCATTGATATCAATTGGTGTTTGTTTTCTCATCACTTTCACATCGTGGTAAATAGATCCACTTTTCTTGTCAAAGATGAACACCTTGGGCGTGTCAATAAACTTTTGACTAGGATCAACAAAATTTACAACTAATCTCTGTGTGTCAGGGGTGATTCTTAATGTGAAGCCTCCTTGGTATCCAGTGGTACCCACTCTCTCTTTACCAATGTAGATGTGCCCAAAACGCAGAGGCTCATTATTGTCAGCTGTGACTACTCGACCTCGAACCAGCACAGTTGGCTGCACACACTTCTGACAACCGCACTGTATCACAGCACGGATGGGGAGGCTGTAGCTACCACAGTCAATAATTCTGCTTTCCATATTTTTAACACCACAACAGAATCCAGCTCCATCTCTGCAGCCCATATCAAAATCTAGGGAACCAGCACATTTGTTGTGAGGACAGCGGCCAGCATTGTAGTACTTGGAGTCAGTCCCGGGTTGAACACAGTCTGTGGGTAGCCTGATGAGATGTGTTTCAGGGGTAGAATTGCATGCTGGTGCTCTTTTGTCTGTGAAATAGACAATAAATGACATTAAGCTTTTGTTCTTTCATCATCATGAAAGAAATATTGCCATAAATTTTAAGTTGACTGCTGTGTAATGTGACTTTGATGGTGTTTTGGAAGTAAATGCAGAGTTAACATATTAAAAACAGGCCTGTTCATGTTCTATTTGCTTTGCTGTATCTGCTCTTGAAAGTTTGTCAAATATACAATCTAGCATTAAAATAAAATTGCTGGTTTGAGGGTAATTGCATATTGATTTATAAGCATAATGTGGAACAGGTATAGTGAATAGTTAGAACTTGCTGGTGGAATATATAAAAATATTTATACCTTTATTTTTCACACATGGATGCTCACATTAAAGACACAGTACACACAAACGCCCAAGCTCTGCATGACCTGAAAGTGCATTTAAGTGGCCAAGTTGGATTGTGAAATATGCATAAAATGGTAATTAAACTTCAAGCTTAAGAAAAGGTTTCTTCACCAACCATCCAACTGGGAGCTGGAAGGAACGACCAATTGTTCAACAACCCACTGGCAGCATAATTAGTATGCAGGATATCATGGCTGTTTGTAGTTAAGTATCCCTGTCAAGCTCACCATCTCCCACATAAGTCAATAACTGCAAACACATGAAGCAGTTTGATTTGTAGATTGCTGTATTGTTTTGCAAGTTTCCTTTGATCATGAATTATAAAACATATAACTTCCTGAACAGCTGTAAACATATTGTGTTATTCAAATTAAACTTCTGCATTATGTGTAAGGGGAAAAGAAACTATTGGGATGAAGGCATGTTTATCATCCCGCTCTGAGGTGCAGGTGTTGTTCTGCACACATAAAGTCTCTCCAGCCATAATGACTTTTGGAGTACAGGGATTTGTCTGTTGCCTAGAATTGATTGCTTTAGCACTGTTCCATGAAATGCCTGTTTGTTAATCTGTGTCTTAACTAACAAGCACCTGGAGAATATAAGCTGTGTATGTGGGGTTCTCCCACATGGATGTGGAAAGACATACTTGTCTGAGTCTGAGAGAGAAAAGAAACATAATTTATTGACAATCTTGGGTTTCATCTCAACACTGGGTGTTCTGGAAAAATTGGGTTTGAGGTTTTACAGTGTCCAGAGCCCTCTCACACAATAAAGAATCCCTGTTTAGAAAGCTGTAGTTTCAACCAATGTAAACACAATAAAAATCTATTCCTCCAGGCTCTGCCAGATCGTAAGACTGATATTTTTCATTTTCCCATGTTGGTTTTTTTTTTTAATGAAAGATAGTTTATTAACTGACTTTCTCCTCTCTTTCAGTTGTAAGCCACTGTGGTTTTGTTTGATTCCTCT